AAGATTCCAAATGTGGCAAACATAAATGGAATGAAGAGGCTAGAGAAATAACTCCATTTTTGCCCCTTAGACATCTCCCCAAACAACTAAAAATCCATCCTTAGAGCAGGAATTCTTCATCAGGGGAGTCCATCAACTTGGATGTAAATAAAATTACTTCTTTATTTTCACTAAACTGAAACTTAGCATTTTCTTCAATTATGAATGTAGGCATCAACCCACAGCAGAAGCAATCCTTAGTGTCCCCAAAAGAAATCACAGATATTTATATTTTCAAATCCCATTAGAGTTGTTGTGGACACCTTGAAATACCATCTACACTCACGAGTACTTTGAAATTACAGGGATTTTGGAGCTGCTGCCAGGCTTTGTTATTTAATGCATTATTAAAGAAGCACATATATTAAAATACTTTGGTAACTGTATTTCAGTATAATTGGTATTCTTTGTGATCCACTGTATTTTATTGTATGCACTTAAAAATATTCTTCTGAGAAGGGAACCATGAGACCAAAGGGATCCGTGGAACACAGAATGGTCAAGGAACCCTGCTTTTAGGGATGACCATTTCTGAAGACAATGTCATGCCCACTACCTTGACCCCCACATCCTCAGACCAGCATTTCCCAAACCTCCCAGGCAGTAGAATAATCACTGGAGGGATTTATTATTCTGAGTGGGTCCTGAAAATCATTTTGTTTAACAAGAGCCTCAGGTGATTTGGGAAACGCTGCCTTATAATCAGTAAATTTGGGAAATGCTGCCTTAGGCTATGTCTGTTGGAAATCAATAGCCAACTTCAGTACCTGAAGACACTTTCTTGCTTACTCCCACCTTCTGCATTGCCAAAGGGAGTTAGTTATATTCATTAGCAAGTGAGAGTAACACCACCTGGCTGCTGCAGAATTCTGTAGTGAGTTATTCATTAGAATTTAGGAGAAAGGTAGAATCATGTCTCTAACGAGCCTTAAATCCATCAGATTTTGGTTTTGCTTTTTTTTTTTTTTGCTTTAATTTCAAAACTCCCTTCCCCCCCCCTTTTTTTAAAGATTTTATTTATTTATTTGAAAGAGAGAGAGAGCTTGAGAGAGAGCGTGAAAGGGGAGAGACTCAGAGGGAGAAGCAAGCTTCCAGCTGAGCGGGGAGCCCGATGCGGGACTTGATCCAAGGACCCTGGGATCATGACCTGAGCCGAAGGCAGATGTTTAACGACTGAGCAACCCAGACGCCCCCAGCCTTTCCCTTTTATGTTCCCCCACACTTTGTCCTTACCTCACCATCAGCACTTTTCCCATTGTATCATAGTTATTCTCTTGGTGTCTCTCTCCTGCGCCCTCAGTTCACCCACACCCACTATATATGAGTCCCCTTTACGTGCTCACACTGTATGCTGAGGCCCTGGGGACAAAAACAGGTTTCACTTATTTCAGTATACTCACCTAAGCAAAGTACCAGGCCCTCAAAACATATTGGCTGTGTGGTGGATGGATGGGCCAGCACCAGCTCCCCTCCTTCCTATGATGGCAGAATGCAGTGAACCTGTAGGCTTCCCAGCAGGGGTACAGCAGGGCGCTAACCTGGAGAGGCAAAATAGAGCAATCGTTAATATTCAGGGTTTGAAATGCCAGCTTCTTTTACTAGCTATGTGTCCTTGGGCAAAGCACACAACCATTCTCAGTCTCCATTTCTTTACCGATAAATTGAAAATAATATTTGCCTCATCGGGTTGCTCTGAGACAGCTTTGAGAGTTACTTGGGCATGGTCATGGCCCTTTGCAGCTCTATTGATTGCTCACTCTTATTTACTCCATGTGGAGGACTCGAGTAAAAAAAACAAAATAAGTATTTTCACTATACATCCACCAGTTAAGAGACTTATTTTAAGGAGTAAGCTCCAGGGAAGGCTAAGTGATGCACCTTAGTGGGAGTTACTTCAATCTGCTGATCAGGCTGTTTTCTTTTTGACACTTCGCTGAGATCAAGGAGAATGGGGATTTTCATGGCGGAATTAGAGACGGAAGATGAGGACAGCCAGAATGGGGGGGGCTGCACAGGAGAAGCCAGGGGGAGGCTTGAAGGGCTTTGGCCGCGAGGGGCTTAAGAAGCAGGATAGCAAAAAACCTGCTGGGTGTGTGCTTTCACTAGACCCCAAGGCCAACAGCCACCCCTGTCCTTTGCACTATTTTTGGAACCCTGTGATAGAGGCGATCAGAAAGAGGGTGCCTCATTTCCTAGAAGGGAGGTGATGCCCTTTGTCACACAAAAATCCTTGCTGAGCACATGGCTTTCTCCCTTCCCTTTGTGTCTGCCCATCCCCATCCTTTTCCAGCACCTGCCCCCCTCCTGACCTGACGCTGCCTTGGAGCAGGGCAGGTCGTGACCTACATTCCTGTGGGCTGTCTGCTTCTGCTGGCTGTGCTACCCTGGGTGGGGTGCTGACCCTCTCCCAGTTTTTGCCCTTTCTCTGCCGTGAAAACAGTAGCCACCCCTCACAGGATGAGAAGCAGCCAAGAGGCCATGTATGTAAAGTGCTTTGCAGAACATCAAGACTTAGTAAGCATTCAATAAATGTTAGCTATTACTATTAATATAGATTAGGTCAGAGACCATTCACTCTTCCAGAATATATCTGCGTGCTGGGCCCTGCTCTAGGAGCCGGGGATGCAGCAGCAAACAAGTCAGAGTCCCTGCTCCTACCGAATTAGGTAACAGTCATTTACTTTCCTATAAAATAAGTGTATAATTTGTCCCCAAAAAGCTTTAAGAGCACACACAGTAAAAAACAAATTCAGTTTTCAGAATCTAAAGTTTCAAAGCTGTAGAAATTCCCAAAAACAGGTTATGTGGGCCAGTGACACATGTAAAGTAAGTTTTCAATAAACATTAGATTGTATTAACAATGTTCGGCCCTCATGATGATCTCTGGTTATTTTATTTAAGAATGCCTTGCTCCTCAGTTACCATATCAGTTCTTCAAGGACAGGGTCCGAAGTACATTTTTAAAACCTCTTAAAACACATAACAAACCCTCCTTCTATGAACTAAGTATTAAGAGCTTCACAACTACTTGCTTTATGAATGAATGAATGAACGAATAAACACCCAGCAAGCACTGGAGTTTGCTGTTGTTGCAACTATCCTCTCGCACCTACATTTTCACCCCAGCTTACAGACACAAACAGGCATTCACAATTTTACAGAACAAAAAGTGGGTTTTATCCAATTTAAGACATATATTGCATAGTAGACATATGTTAAAATGAAATTTAATATAAAAACCTGCCGGGTTTTTATATTCAGCGCTTCTGCAAGAAGCCTTTACAGCATACAACCATCCTGTGTACTGAGAAAACCGTCCTTTATTCTCCTGGCTCCTGTAAATCAGCGTGCTATTATGACTGCACACCTCCCTTTTTACGAGTTTCTCATTCTCAGAATTCTTATAAATTCACATTAGGCCTTATTTCTATAAAGCCAAATGGTTGAGCTGAAAGAAAGTAAATCCACAACCTAATGAACAAAAACAATTACTTCTTTACTAGTTTGAACTTTGCCTTGTTGCTTTCAGACAAAATATCTTTGGTCAGGGTTTCTCAAAATAGTCTGGAGATGACCAAATACAGGGATAAAATCGGATGCTGAAAAGAAATAAATCGAAGGGGAAAGAAGTGATTAGGGGAGAGAGGCTCTCTGAACCTTTCTTTAGTGGGATAAATCAGGAATGAACAGGAAAGGGACCCGGACAGGTAACAAGAATCTTGGGTGACGAAAACGAATCACAGCAACTGCACCGTCTTTACGCGCTCTCCCATTTTCCCTTGAGAAGCTACTTTAGAGGCTACTGTACCTACTTTTCACTCCCCTTCCCCTTAAACAGCCACCGGGCTTGCCCAGCAGGGATATCATGCACACGCAGCTGCCGCTGGGGCACCAAGCTTCACGGGGTTTCTCCTTGAGAACCATGGTCCCCACGGAGCGGAAGGGGCAAATGCCCAAAAGCCTTGGGGCCCAAAGACGGAGTCTATGGACACTCCGAAAGTGACAACCCTGACACACCTCTCTGGTTTGATTAGGTTATGTAAAAAAGCATTTAAAACAAAATAGAAATGTGTTAGAATCAAATTAAATTACATTAGCGGGAGGAAGTTTCAGAGCTTGGAACCCACATGTAAATGCGTGAGGTCAGGACTGTCCTCCCTGGTGCTGGGAGTGGGAGAGAGGACCTGCGCCCCTTTCCAATGCCCTGCACCCACCTTTCCGCCCACCTCCTGGGGACTGAAACCGGGGTGTCCAAGGCAGGCAGGCTGCCACAGACTCATTTCACATAGGTTCTTACAGATATTGTTCCAGAATGCTCCCCAGCTTTAAAACCAGAAGCCAGATAGATTTTCATTTTAGAGGTAAGTTTCATGGAGAATGTGTCTTCCGCTTATTCCCTGGGTACACAGTGAGCTCTCCACTGTGCAGAGGGCTTCAGAAAGGCAGTTTGGGCCCAGGGCACACATCTGGCTCTCACCCAAGCTCTTTCACTACCAGCTGGACATCTATGGGCCCATCACTTAACCGCGATGAGCTTTAGTTGCCTCCTGAGTTTGACCTAGATCGGTTATTCTCAAACCCTGGTGTACGGGCGTGGGGGCAGGGGAGGACTGGAGGGGGTATTTAAAAATGAAAATGCATCAGCTCCAGATTCAGAGATTCTGACTCAGTAGGCCTAGGGAAGGGTTCAGAAATGTGCATCTCTAAACCCCACTGTCGACCCCACTTTGAGAAACACTGGACGAATTCCAGCTCTGATGTTCTCACATTCCATGAATTTGTCCTCTCTGGGGTGACCACGTTGAGCCGCCCAGCACGCCCTCAGCGTCTGCCTGTCCTTGGCAGCAACAGTGCCAACCACAGGGAGGGCACGTCCGCATGTGCAGGGGAGCCTCGGGAAGGCAGCAGAGTTGACTGGGATGCGGGGGGGAAACACTGACCGCCTTGTCTCTGCCTCTCAGGTGACAGGTGGAGTCTGGAACTTCAGCCGCGTTTGCTGCGATGTTTTCGTCACCCTGGACGTCATGATGTGTACAGCCAGCATCCTGAACCTCTGTGCCATCAGCATCGACAGGTAGGGCTGGGATTCCCCTGCCAGCAGGTGTTGGCTGCCAGGTGGTGTGGGAAACCAGCCTGGGGAAGCTGCTTCTGCTGTTTGGGGGCGCCCAGGCTTTGCGTTTGAGGGCACTGGGGTCTCCACCAAGTGGAGCTTAACCCCTAGGACATCTTCCTCTTCTTCTTTTTCTTTTAAACTATGGTTTGCAGTAGAGAAGAAACCCCTGTGGCAGGAGAAAAACAATCATCCCATAAGCTTTCCTAGCCTTTCCTTCCTCCCAGAGCCCTAGAGAGGATTCTGGGTTTGCCTTTGGGGGCTTTTGTGATTCCTAAGTGGGAGCAAAGGGGGAGGGGGACAAGGACAGAAGGGGAGCGGACAAGAGTTGGGAGGAAAACTTCCTGTTGTTATTTTGTTGTTTTTTTAAGAAGGGAGGGAAAAGAGGAAGAGGGAGAGGAGAGAGAAAAGCTTGGGAGGATTTGCAAGGAAGGGAGAGAAGACAGAAGTGGATGGGGAGAAAGGTAATTTTAGGAAGTATGGCTGTGATCTATTTATTTATTTCCTTCATAGAGTTTAAGGCAAACAAGTAAACAGTGATGTCTCTTTAGAATTGCTTTTCAGTTGCTGGAGTGGATCTCTGTGACTGTGACTCAAATCTGTGGATGTTCCATCTGAGTGGTATCTCTTTCCATCCCCAAGAGCGGGCTGCCCTGGCCCTGGGCGCCTCTGTTGCTCGTTTCTCCTCCTTGGTTTCCTCACCTCTTTCCCCCTTTCCCCTGTTTGGGCCTTGGACGCGCCCATGGCTCCCCTGGACATTTCCAGGCCCACAGAGAGCCCTGGGGAAAGAAGTTTGCCCTCCAGTCTGAGACCTCTCTTGCTTCTCAAGAGCCTCCACCCTTCCCTTCTCTGATTCCCCTCCTGCCTCCCTCCTCATCCACTGTCCACCTCTTCTCTCTCCTCCACCCTTTCTCCCAGCAGTACCACCCACCCTCTCCTTAGCTTGAACGGGGGACCCAAACAAGGTCTGCCAATCATTGAGAACTTACCTACTGTGCTAAGGCTTTGACAGGCACTCCCTCATTCCATCTTCACAACAACTCAGCTGCTACTATTACCTTCATTTCCATTTCTCAGGGGTATTAAGGAATTGGCCTAAAGTCACACCCCTCGTATGGAGCAGTACCAGCATTGGAATTCATGTCTATCTGACTCCAAATTCATAATCTTGGGCTTTGTGCTAAGCCCCCTCAAATCTCCAGCTACACCCCTAAGATCTCCCCTGAGTTTCAAACCATATTACCACCTAGATAGCTCACTGCCTCCTTGAAACATTAAAGACTAAACGATCAAAGCACCAAACCATCTTGCCTGGATCATCCCTTGTTGGCAGCATCATTGCCTTACAGTCTCAGGTTTTATCCCCTTCCTCTTCCTCATCTCCCACATCTAAGCAGTCAAGGCTTACAGACTCCATTTTTTGCCATTTTGCCCCCAGATTTGCCCCATCTTTCCTTTCTTACCGTGCCTGCTTATTTTAGGTTCCTATGACCTGTCACCAGACTTCTGCCACAGCCTCCTAACTGGTCCTACATGCCACTCTCCGAATCAATCCCCCGGCAATAAAGTTCAAATGTCCATTGCCCTCCCCAAAACCCTTCAGCGTCTCCTTGGCCTGTGGAGTAAATATCAGAATTACCTTCCCAGCCCAAGATTCAAAGTTTTCTGCACTACGGCCTCAGTCTATCTTCTCAATCTCATCTCTTTCTGGGTTGCCCCACATTCATCTCTTGCTTCAAGGTCTACCACACCTGCCCCCTGTCCCACGAAGCCCTTGCAAACTTCTACAACTTGGTGCAGTCACCCCTGAACTCTCATAGTGCTTTCTCTTTAACTATCTCAAGGCATCTCCAGGTCCTAAAGCAGGTCCTCCTCATTTCCTGATGTTTGACGTTTCCACGACCCAGGGTTGTACCCTCTCTATCAGCAGCCTAAACTCCCTTTCATGTGCTGAGATGGAAATCTTGAACAATAACCAAAAAATGGATCCGAAACCCCCACCCTCTAGTGATACTGCAGACCAATCAGTCAACCAGATAGTCTTTTGACTTTTACCACTTGAATTGGCTCTCCAACTGAGAAGGAGAATTAAAGAATGTGTTCATAAGGCTGGGACACATACCATTAAAAAATGTGTTTAAAAATAAAGGGAGAGAGTCACACGATTCTATAAATACACCCCAAAACATTGAATTATACACTTTAAGTGAATGAATTGTGCGATATGTGAATTATATCTTGATAAAGCTGTTTTAAAATGAAGGGATAGTTAGGGATTTTATAATATATTTCGCTCTTTGAGAATAGAACTCTGCTTAGAACATGTAAGTCTTTTGTGTGATTTCTGGACACTTAGTACCTAAATATATAAGCGATATAAGAAGCAGACTGCCTCTGGTTTGCTTATCATCACCTCTACCACCCCAAACCAGTACAGTAGTCCTAGCTCCTTATCACCTGTGAGTCTCCCTGCTGTGCCTGTTACAGAAGTTGAACAAAGAATATTAAACGGAACTGAGTGGTCCTTATCTGAAGGTAGCCACTGTTTATAGTACAAATACGCACCTTCAGAAAGAACATGAGCCAGGGGGTGAAGATCAGCCTTGGAGCAGGGAGACGGGAACTATACAAAGAGCTACTAGGAGAGGCTCTGGGGCAGCCCCCTCCTTGTCTCCTGGTCCCGGGCTCTCCTCTCTATCCTCTTGAGAGGGTGCCTACACACTCCACCCACACACATCCACATGTGGGGGGCTGGCAGGTGAGGTTGTGCCCTGCACAAGCATCTGGGAACTGAATTCAGCCAGCCTTTCTCTGCAAACCTGGAGTTGGCCAGGAGGGGGTGCCTCTTTCCAACTGCACAAGAGCATCCTTTCACTGGCGGCGTCCACGCTTGACATACACTTCCACCTTCCACCACAACCAAAAGACTAAACCCTGAATTGGCTTCTTTGCCCTAGAGGAAAAGCCCCAGAATGCATTGCCCTCACTACCTGAACTCAGGAACCAAGCCATGCCTTAGACCCCAGTGGAGAAGGATGCTTTCTTCTTGCCTTGTGTGTCGACATGAACCCATCCTCACCAAACCTCAAGATGGAGGCTCTCCTCTGTTCTAGGAATGAAAATCGGCCTTGGAAAAGCTGTCTCCATCATCCTTCAGGGCCGTGTGCAGTACACAGCATTAAATTCTGTTCATGGGATGCCAAATAGCTGGTCAACTCATTAAAAATGCAGTCATTCATGCAGACCTTTGGTCTGCACACAATGCTACTCACCAGTCTGACAAACTTGACCAAATGGATTCAGCATTTTTTTGGCCGTGAAGCCTTGGTATGTACTAACAGGGTAGTAAGAGCTAGGAAAGGAAACGAAATGATAAAAAGAGGTTTTGAAAGCAAGTAATACTATTGTCATTAGATTCTTAGGCATAGCCCTGGATGCTTGGATTAATGCTGCCTTTTCTTTTTAAAAAAGCACAAGCCCCTTCTCCCCCCACCCCCCTCCTTGGCTCCTTGCCTCCCCAGGGGGCCAGCCCCCTCCCACAGCATCCTGGGTCAGAACTAGCTTTGGGGAGAGGGCTGAGAAAGTGTCAGAGGAGGAGGACACGTTCTGAGCGGTGAGAATTCGAGTCCTCCGCTAGGGGCCCGGGAATAATGCGACCAAATTCATTCACCAGAGAGTTCTTTAAGTGGCTCTCAAACGGCAGCCGTCACACAGGCGAGCCCCCGCTCTTTGAAGCAAGCACAATAGGTACCAGATGAGTCACAGGCACCTTGGATTTTTCGTTTGCATCTAAATAAGCACTTTATATTTGCAAAGGGCTTTCCAGTCATTTGCAAAAAGCTTTCTCCTTCAACAATTCCACGAGGGGAGTCCACAGAACTAAAGATTTATTGAGCCCCCTGTCTGACCAAATAAAAGGTGGTGAAAAGCAGCCCTCACAGAGCCCTGGGGCTCATTAAACCCAGGCAGGGAGTTAGACTCAAGCCCTCCGACCCAGGCCAGCCTCTTTCCTCCCCCACGGCCAGCTTCCCAAGGGGGGCACCCATATCAGTCCCCCCCCCACACACACACACCTCCCAGCCTAGGACAGGGCTTCAGGTGGAGGTCACGTACCACCAGGGTCCTGAGACTTCCAGCAGAGTGACAAGCCTACAAGCCCCCAGTCATAGAACTGGGAGTCGGAGGGGCATTATAGTTTAACTCATCTGTGCAGAAGTGTTACATGCTGTAGGGGCTCCCGCAGCCTCTGAGACAGGTCTGGGACTAGAACCGGAGTCTCCTGACCCCCCCATGGTAGAAGGAGGGATGGGGCACCAAGAGCAAGGCCCCCGGCCACGTCAGCAGCCACCACTATGGAGGCTCTTTCCTTGGAGTAAAGGAAGTGTACTTCCTATGTCTTCGGTGCCCTGGCTCCTCCTTGGTAATCCGAACTTGCGTGAGTCTAAAAGCGGCAGCCATCAAACAGCTACCATTTCTGTAGTACGTACCATGGGCCAAGCTAAGAGCTTTTCATTCTTGCTAACCCTCACAGCGCCCCAGCAAGATAGGGGTATTAACCTCGTTTTACAAGTGAAGAGTCTGAGGCTAGACTGTGTAGCCTGCCCAGACCACACCGCCGGGAGATGCGGGTGTAAGAATCCAGTCACCCTCCTCCTTCTGTAGCACGCTGCCTGACGCAGGGGCACCTTCCACACTCTGGGCCCCTAGCTCTGGAGCCCCCACTGCCTGGCTACAACACCCGGCTCTACCACCTGATAGCAATGTGACCTCCGGCAAGGCAGTTAACCTCTCTGGGCCTCAGTTCCCTTACCTGTTTAGTGAAGATCATAGCAACAGAGTTATCACAAGGATGAAATGAGTTAATATTTGTAAAGCACTTCAAACAGCTGCTAGCATACAGAAAGCGTTATATACTTGTTTGTTTGATAAATAAATACATTTAATGTTCCCAGGAACAAGGGGCAGATACCCATAAACGTACTGATAAGGATAATCACAGATCCCTTGGGCTAGCACAATAATATGACAATAATAATAATAATACTGTTTGTTTTTTAATGCTTAATAGGTACCAGGCATCATGCTAAAAGACTTCACGGAGATAATCTTATTCAATGTTCTTAACAGCCCTATCTGGCTGCATCATTACCCCCAATGTACAGATAAGGAAATTGAGTCTCAGGGCAGCCAAATTCTGGCCCAAGTCCACGCAGTTAAATGGAAGAACTGGGATTCAGACACTAACCAGTCAGTTTCCAACGGCCACGGACTTAACCACCTTGCACGCTTGCAGGGTTCTGGCCACGCCAGAGAGCCCGGTGACCTAGGAGCTCCCGGGAGAGGAGGCGAGGGAACGGGAGGGGTGCGCGCAGAGTGGAACAGCGCGGTGAGCGCCGCGGCGGGACCCAGGCGGCCCAGGCCAACCTCCCGCTCGCGTCCCTGCCTCCCTGAGGGCGGCACCTGGGGCCCATTCGGGAGGAGACCAGAGGTGGAGCAGCCTGCCCGGGTGGGGATTCAGGGTCCCCGCAGGCCTCCGGGACCCCGCCGGGCCGAGCCTTCCCGCCCTGCCTCCCCACGAGGCCCGGGGAGCCAGCAGGTGAGCGTGAACTTCTCACCCGGCCGCGCCGGCAGCTCTCGCTGCATTAGGGCGCCCTCTGCTGGCTAGTTCTGGAACGGCACCTGCGTCTCCGACCCCGCGGCTGACTCCCTGGCGGGGAAAATCCCGCTTGTGGGCGAATTCGGGGGCCTCGTTTATTCCAAGAGTTTAATCGTGTTCGGGAAACAATACGAAAAAAAATCGTAACAGTGATCAGTGTAGTTTCATCTCTCACTTGTTACCCAAGTTAACAAGAATTTCTGACTGAAATTTCCCTTAAGGCAGAAATTTTTCTCAAATTTGCCCCATTGTAAGATGCCCTGGCTTGTTCAAAATGCACATTTCTGGGTTCCACTCTGGAAGTACTTAATCAGAATAGCCAGGGGAGTGGCCTGGGAATCTGTATTTTAACAGGACCCCCCCCCCCAACCCACCCCCTCCCTCTCAGGTAATTAATAGACTCAGATTAATTGGGGAACATTCTGGGAATCCAAAGTGCTCTCAGATAGAAACCACCCTTTAATGCCTGCTGTCTTGAGGAAGCCCTCGTCCCCACCGGGCCTCAGAGACTTGACAGTGGCCTTGAGAGGGTGAGGGGCACACAGGAGAGACACTGGCCACAAGGCAAGCAGTCAACAGCTTTTTACTACTTGCCTGGTGCAAGGACCGCTGAGGAATACCAAGTCTACAACATGATTTGAGTCATCAAGTAACAAATCGTATGGGATCTATGTCTCTCCAGCCATGAGGCATTGCAGTTTCTCGTTATTGAACTTGCCCAGTCCCTTTTAAGGGCTTACCTGGTTAAGCCAGGCCCACCCTTTTGATTAACTCAGTTTGTTGATTAGTAATCTAATCACAGCAGTGACATCACATGGTATTCTCAAGTTCAGCCTCCATTCAGTGTGGGGGATTGTACAGGGCAGGCATCTTGGAGGCCATCTTAGAATTCTGCCTTTCTCAAGCAGTTTCCATCTGGGGAATCCAGGATGGGGAGGACATGATGAAATCTACTTTTAGAGCCTGGCAGCAGGGACCAGCCAAGAGGCTGTGGCCATCACAGAGAGCAGCTGGTAGGAAAGAGATGCATTGATAAATGGGGAAGACATCATAAGTAAGTATACAGGATCAGCTATCTTTTGGGCTCAGTAGCTAGAAATGTGTGAGAGGAGTTGCCACAGAAAAGACGACGTCCGTAACACAAAGAACTGTGTGTTGACCATGCAAAAGCATGTGCTGTAGACCAAAAGTCTGTGGCTCCCCCAAGTTTGTATGTTGATATTCTACCCCCCAAAGTGATGGTATTAAGAGGTGGGACCTTTGGGTGATAATAAGGTTATGAGGGTGGAGCCCTCATGAATGAGATCAGTGCCCTTAGAAAGGAGATCCCAGCCCCTTCTGTCATGTGAAGACACAGTGAGAAAATAGTCCTCTATGAACAAGGAAGTGGGGCCTCACCAGACGTTGAATCTGCCAGTGTCTTTATCTTGGACCTCGCAGCCTTCTGAACTGTGAGAAATAAATGTTTGTTGTGTAAGCCACCGAGTCTCTGCTATTTTCGATAGAGCTGCCTGAATGGACTAAGAGAGCATGAAAACTGGATTTTGAAATAAGCCTTCACTAGATATTACTCACCTCTATTTTTAAAATCTCCACCACTTGGAATAGTTGTCACTAGGAGGGTTAGAATTTATTTTAGGATACAAGCAGGGGTAGACATCCTCTTTGGGCACAGTTCTATCATTGTCTGAAAAACCGTGGGAGAAAGTAAAGGCACACAGACCAGCACGCAGAGTCTTGGGGGTTCAGGTATGCGAGTACAAGTTTCAGGTGTGCTGGGAGGAGCCTGCCGGCGGCCCAGTCCATTACTTTACTAACTTTATTCTTCTTTCCCCCTTTCCCTGCTCAGGGAGTTCTTCATCTCTCTTAGCTCAGCCTTTCTACATTTTCACTCAAATACCCTTTCTTTCTCCAACCAAACTCTTTTGCTCCTGCTACATGGATCACCTAGATTAGTTCTCTAGGAACATCTGTCCTCTTTTGGAAAGATTCCCCCACCCCTTCTCATCATGGGCATCCCTCCCCGCTTCCTTTCACAGGTACACCGCGGTGGTCATGCCAGTTCACTACCAACATGGCACGGGACAGAGCTCCTGTCGGCGCGTGGCCCTCATGATTACAGCCGTCTGGGTACTGGCCTTTGCCGTGTCCTGCCCTCTCCTCTTTGGCTTCAACACCACAGGTAACAATGATGGCCCCTCTCACGACACCCATGTGATTCACGGCACACCTGAGTGGCTGTGAGTGGCGCTGAGCCTGGAAGTTTCTGACCCTGATCAGCATACTTCAGAATCAAATAAGGATGCCATAGGCTGCAAAGCTTTGGGTTTTGATTCAAGTACAAAGCAGAACCTCATCATCAATCATTGGCACATAAAGTTCTTCCCCAGTTAGTGAAAATTCTGGCCTATCTTTATTTTGAAAGAAATGTCATTGTATTCGTGGGAAGCGATGTATCAGTTAAAAAATTAAACTATATTAATAATTCAGGTGAGATTTGCTAATGAAAAGATGACAATTCATAATGGACTTCCAAGGCAAAATAACACTATGAAGGCCCTCAAATGGGATATATATTTCTAATTTTTTACTAAACAAAAATCATTTCTAGTATTTGGGAATTAGTATAGATCCCTAAATTATTGGAGAGTATATTTTCATATCTTAATATACAAAAATTCTGGCCATGATGGTTGGCACATGGTACATCTTCTATCGGATGGATGGACGGACAGATGGGTGGATGGATGGACATATGGATTAACAATGTGAATATCTGAGATGTTTGGTTTTTAGACATAAGACACCGATCCAAATTTACACCTCATATGGATCAATGCCTTCTTTGGCTATTCCATATACATCTTTCAGCCTCAGGGATTTCATGTGTTGAATGAAACCTCTAGCACATATAATAAAGTTACAGGTATTGACAATAAACACTGAGTATTTGCTGAGAACTAATTGAGTCAGGTTCTAGTGTTCATCTGGATTTGTTTAATTGCTACTATCTTCCAGGTTCATTAGTTTCTGGTGTATACGTACAAGTCACATAGCTGTGTATTTATACGTATACAGTTATTATAGGTAACACATTGCATATAAATACAGGCAAATCCTAACTTATGAATAGTCATCAAAGAGTCATTTGCTAGCCAGTGATTTAAAAGTCAAAACACATTTAGGAAGACAGATAGAGGCTCTGGAGTCAGAAAAACCTACATTCAAACTTCAGTTCTGCTACTTACCAGCTGTGCTCCTTGAACAAGCTATTTAGCTTTTCTAAGTTTTCTTATTGATAAATTTGGGATAATAATACACTGAAGCATACACTTGAGCAAATTTAAATATATAGACTGAGTCCATATATTTAGTTGGAAAGTTTCCAGCATTTATTTTTTCATATGGCCCCCCTGCACATAAGCCCAGCAACTTCATTTCTACAACTGCATGTTGTGTTTGAACTCTTTATATGACATAGTAATGTATGTATCATATCTCTTTACTCACTACTCTCTGGGGCTGTAATAAAACCATGTATATCTTCGTATGTGATTCAGGAGATTTTTCAAAGCAAATTTCAGCGCTAGATAATGTTCACTTTAATCACTGACTTTAGAATCTGACACTACATATGATATAATTCCACTGTACTTGCTTCATAGAGCTTTTTTATAATTAAGTGAGGATTAAATTGGAGTAACATATGTAGACCGGCCAAACACACACCATACGCTCAAGGTCAGGTTTCTTTGTCGGCTACATTGAAGGTTAAGTCAATGTCATGTTGAGTCATCCAACGAATATTTGCCTGGTTAACTCAGGGTGTTCCTAAAATATGATGTTCCTATCATGTTTGCATTACTCTTTACCATTCGTTACTTTGTTGTTTTCATTGAACGACACTTTATACACACAAACATGGCTGTGGACACACACATCCTCCCCGAAGCAACATTCCCTAACACAACTCTGAGAGGCTGCCTGGCATTAAAATACTATTTTTGATGAGTGTTAAATATACTTTTTGGATTCATCTGCTAACTAAGCCACCTTCTATATCTTAGATTTCTACACAAAAATACATTATTCTAAGTTGGAATGTGTAGTATGGGAACTCAGTACCACTGGCAGACCCCGGCACTGCTTACCCCTGGTCAGCAGCAAACCCCCACCAACATTCAGTCCGCAGAGTGGCTCCTCTTACTCATTCTGGGAGGTGGGCGGGGCGGGGGGGAGGGCTGTTTTACTCATTCTCTCTCTCTCTCTCTCTCTCTCTCTCTACCGCGCACGCGCGCGCACACACACGCCCTAGTAACAGTTAAAAACGGTCTCAACATCTGACAGTAGACCGAGTTCCCAGTTAATGTCAACATCTAAAGTGAAGATGAATGATGAGCTAATTACAGTGGTGTTGCTGCCAGTGAGATCATTATTATTCCAGAAACAAAACTCAGAAAACTGTCTCTCCAAAAGGATTTTCAAATATAGCACTGAGAAGGCAAAAATGCTCGCTTCTCTCTCATCTCTTTCAATCTCTCTTACTTTAAAGAAGTACATGATTTAGTCTATTGCAACTTTTTTTTAAGTCGTTCATTTATTTATTTACTTACTGCAGTAATCTCTACACCCAACGTGGGGCTTGAACTCACCACCCCAAGATCATATTCCTCTGACTGAACCAGCCAGGGACCTCTCTCTCTCTTACTTTTAAGTTTATTAATAAGACTACAGTAAGCCCTCCATTTATTCATATATAGCATCCAAGTGTCAGGTCCGTTGTAAAGGCCCAGTGGATATTAGCTACCACCCTTGTTGTGATTACTGTGTGTTAGAAAAGGGTTCTGTGTGTCCAAATTGAACTCTGCACCGGCTCCAAAGAAAATCTGAGTAGCAGCAGTTCTGCTGGTGGTTGTGGAGGCCAGTCACCTCGTCCTAGAACACAGTTCAGGGAATTAGTGAGCAGAACTCAAGGCGAGGCAGCCCAGCTGTCCTTCTCTGCCTCTCTCTGACCTTCACAGTACAGCTTCATTATCTTGATGAATGTGGGTTCCTTAGCAGCTCTTCCATCTTTAAGGAAGCTCCCAAGTTCATTCGAAAGCCCAACATAAATGACTCCTCTCAGCCATTTGTTTCTACTCACCCTGTGAAAAGTAGAGGAGGAAAGGGCAGGGTACCGCCAATGACATCCGAGAGTGGAAGGGGCTGGATTTTCACTAAGCAGTGCAACACAAAGGAACTTTCTGGCAGAGCTCTTTTTAATGAAACCAGCTGCCATGTGGGATTGCGAATTGTCAGATGACTTAAGGCAGAAAAATGTTGAACTTCAGTTTCCTTCATCTTGGCGTTGTTCTTATTGTCCGGGATGCAACATGCATTTGTGGATATGGACGTAAGGCTGGATCTTCGGTCACAGAGAGTTCCAAGGTTGGGGGGGGCCTGGCAGCTCCCAGCAGGGGCCCAGCGGTCTAGCTAAATACCCCATCACTGACAGCACGCAGTACTGGTACTAGAGGAAACGCTAAGAATCCCTGAATGGACAACCCAATACTCTATTTCACAGGTACAAGACTAAATGGTCTTAATTTTCCTTTGAAACAAGGAAATGGAAGATACTATCTAGATTTGAGCCATAGAATTCCTCACCTGGCTTTCAGAACACTGGAGCCAGTGGAAGCCTGGTTGAGAAACACATAGTTAAAAGAATAACAGGCTCATCCTGACTTCAGGTGCATCAGGCTCTCCTGTCTTTGGGAACAAGGCGAAGACAAATCCTTCCATGAGCTTTAAGTTCATGAACCTGTCAAGTCAACCTGCTTTTGGCCTTGCCCTTCACATCACTGTGGGACTCAAGTTCCCAGGCTAGCCCACAAAAGCCTCTTCCACCCCTTTGTGGAGCTATTTAGTATTTTTGTCGCCCATCATGGTGCCTGGAACAGAGTAGGTTCTCCATAAGCTTTTGTTGAATAAGTAAGTCGATGAGTTCTTCTTATCATCCTTTCTTCCTTAAATGTTAAGATCAGTTGGGGTAAACATCCTCGATCTCAGAGAATGAGGCGTAACCCTCTGGTTTTCCCCATTATCTTCCAGCCAGCGACTGCTTATGTGCTGATGTAAAAGGCTCATTTGTCTGCTTCACTCATGTATTTGTCACTCTCATATTCATCCAATAACTAATAGCACAGTACTGTCTTGGTTAAATAATCATGAGAAGGCAGCTCATCTCCAGGGGGCGGGGTGGAGGGGTGCTCACTGCCCTCACCACCTCATCTGGAACTCAGCAGAGAGAAGCTTCCAGAATTGCTTCCAAAAACACATACGCAGACCAGACCCAGTGGGAGCCGGGGCAGGGCCTCATTCACTGGCCACCAGCCTCCAGGATCACTTTACCCGTTGACAGGCCTCACAGGACTTCGCGGCCTGGAGAAATTGTGGGAGAGGCCGCAGAGCTCAATCTAAGGACGGGCAGCAGTTTAGTCAGATAAGAGAGGCAGAAAGGGATGACTGTGCAGGCTCAGTGATCGTACATGGAGGGCCTTTGGTGGCCAGCAACTCTGAAATAGCTCTGTGTTCTCTCTTCACTCTCTCGTGTGTATGCTTTCAATATTTCAATGGAAAAATAAATACTTGCCCATAAAACACAAGGTATAAAGGGTTACATAGGCATACATATATGTAGGCCTCCCTTCTACCCTAGATCGTTAGCTGCCCTGTGACCCTGCCCAGAAGCAAACACTAATCATCTTAAAGATAATGCTTGAAACAAATATGTATACACACACACACATGCATACACACACACGTGTTTCCACTTTTTACACAAATAGAAGCATACCACACCCACTTTTGCTCCTGGCTTCTTAAAAGTAGGAGTTAATACCCTACTATGAAGGAGTGCCCTTGTTGCGATGAGCACTGGGTGTCTGTCATATTGTCAGCGATGAATCACTAAATTCTACACCTGAAACTAATATTACACTGCACCTTAACTAACTGGAATTTAAATAAAAACTTGAAAAAAAAAGTTGGAGTTAGTATATAAAATCTAGAGGTCGGCTTCCCAGAACCCAGAGGAGAGTAGAAAAGGGTAGAAGGTATATCTGGAGGGACGAATGGGGCATACCCCGCACACCAGCAATGGTAACCATTAGCGGGATGGTATCTATCCCTGCCCCCGTCCTGGCCCCCTTCTCACTAGCCCAGGTGCTCAGGCATCTCCTCACAGGAGGTGTTTAAACCGTGGTCAGATGCTGACAACAGGGGAGCTGATTTCAGGAAGAGGGCTGATCGCTGCCCACATGACTCCTTATAGATTCACAAAGACCAGCAGCGGCCACCCTATCCTACCTCCAACCCCGTCTCCCCCAGAACACCAGAAAATGCCCATTTGGTGACCACTGCTCGAAGTTTTATAAGCCATTCTCTAAAGGATGTTGGCACAGACTTGGTGAGAGGACATTAATTTTTCCTGAATTTTACCCTCCTCCCAAGAGAATCAAAAACTTTGGGAGCAGCTCCTAAAGATCCTCATGTCAGTGCTATCATTAAAAGGCCTCGCTGAGAACTGAGTACACTTTTTGTTCTAATTATGAGCTGTTGCTCCCCTCCCTCCCCCACAGATATTGTTCTTTATAAGTCTCTCTACAGGTTTCCACTCCAAATGATACCTTGCCTTTTAAGTTCAAACAGCTCAGAGGAGGTATATAATAAATAATAATAGTAAAGAATAAGTAGTAATAATAATAGCTACCATTTATCCTCATTTAGTCTCATGAGACCTTATTTTTATCCTTCCTTTCCGATAATGAAGCTGAGGCCTGGCATAGTTAAGCAATGTGCCCGAGTTCACAGTTAGCAAATCGCAGACCTGGGTCTCCCACCCCAGGCCTGGCCTCTGCCTAGCTCAGAAGACCGGAAGGCAGAATGAGGGGCCCAGATGGCTGGCTACAGCCCTCTCCCCACTAGCTCACACCTGTGACTCTACCTTCTGAGGCCAGATTTGGGGTTGTTGAGAATCCCCTACCCTTTATAAAGATTGGTTGGGTATCCCAACAGCAGTTGCTACCAGTGTGGGGCGAAGTGTAAATTTGCCATTCCCGGGGAGGGGGGGGGGCAGCCAAAGTGTAGAGGGAGGCAAGTCAAAATCACAGACAGAACACTGGTTGTAAGGTCAGAATGACCGGAGAAACTTATCCAGGCTCTGCCCCTTTCAGGCTATGGGATGCAGGGCCACTGACTGAACCTCTCTGAGCCTGAGTCTGCTCGCCTGAGGACAGAGTCAGTGATGGCTCCTACGTCACATAATGTCGCCACAGTGGTTAGGTAAGATGATGTGTATAAAGGCCTTGGCACACCATCTGGAAGATATTAGTTTTCTTCCCTTTTCTCTTCCAGATGAGGCGAGTTACAGGCCCTATTCTGGGCATTGGAGGAATTTCAACATCTGCTAGCAAAAACAGCAAAACCACAGGGACTCTCTAAAGTGCAGCGACAGGTGCATTTCAGAACATAGAGCAGGGACAAAGCTGCTCCTCATTTCACATTGTCCACAGTGACAATATCTTTAACAGCCCGCTCCCCATCCTACCCCTGATGGGTCATTAGATTCCCCAAGAAACAGAATTGCCTGCATTCAGCCACCACCTGCCCTGTACCTCAGATTCACATCGGAGGCTTGGCGTTCTCAACAAAGAAGCCTCCCTCTCTTTGCCTTCAACAACCCCTTAGTGCCTCCGCACCAGCAGGCCCTTTTCTGGGGGCTGCCTCGCCCCCAGGAGCCTCTGGCCTGTTGCTCTGTGACACTCCCCCCAGCCTCCCAGGCCACAATCCTCTGTGACACTTAACACGGCCTTCAGGAAGATCGCCTGTCCGTGCAGACTGAGCCCTTCAAGGGCAGACATGTTTGCAGCCCGAGCAGTGTCGGGCAGGAAATCACTGGGTAATTTTCTTTTTAAGGGAACTGTGAGAAACACAAAGATGAATTGGACCTCCTCCCCTCAGGGAACTGACAACATAACCTCTCCCATCCCCACAACTTCACAAGCAGCCGCGTGTGCTAACACCGAAGAGGCAAGGCAAGGGCTGGGGGGCACAGAGGAAGGAAGAGTTACTTCTGACTAAGGAGCTGGTGCAAGCCTCCACCAATGAGGCAGCATGTGAACTGAGAGGCAGTGAGAGGGGAGGTGGGCCCGGAGCCCCTACTTCCCAAAGCCCCGTGTGGCTTAAATGGTGGAGACTCCACACATGTATGCGGCCACACTGTGTGCTCCCCACCGATGTCTCATATTGGCAAACTGCTTTGCTTTCTCCTTTTCTCTCACTCACAGGAGACCCCACTGTCTGCTCCATCTCCAACCCTGACTTTGTCATCTACTCTTCAGTGGTGTCCTTCTACCTGCCCTTTGGAGTGACTGTCCTCGTCTACGCCAGGATCTACGTGGTGTTGAGACAGAGGAGACGGAAACGGATCCTCACTCGACAGAACAGTCAGTGCATCAGTGTCAGACCCGGCTTCCCTCAACAAGTAAGCACCCCGGAGGGGCAGAGGGAGAACAGTGCCCAGCCCTGTAGCTTCCCAGCCTTGTGTCCAGCAGCACTTGCTTTTGCTCGTGCTGCCCCACTGGAGACACACATCTCACACCCACCTTCTAATCTGCTGGTATTGGCTACGCTTTAGAGTAGGAAATCGAATCCAAAAAGGGCATTGTGAGTCTTCCCTAGAGTTCACATTGCTTAGCAAGGTGATAGGAGAGTTTCTGGACTTCTTCTGCTTTCCATCAAAGCTTTCCATTGCCCCCAGATGGCCAACGGCACAAACGTCACACCAGATCTGCCGTTGTAAGGTGGCCTCTGTACCGTGCACTGCTGGGAGGTCCCGAGGATTGGTTTTTGAGCAGACCACTTATTACAAGAATCACTGGGGTCCATGGAAAGCTTTTTTCCTTACTAGATCTGCCCCTGTGTCAAGGTGCTGACCAGCTTGTGAAATGGAAAGCTGATGATGTGTGTTATCGGGCTTTTTGACGCTCTGAAAAGGAGAGCTGCCTCAGCACTGATCTTCCCTTTGCTTGGGCTGGAAAGTCTGCTCATCCCAGTGTCTGGTACATGCTTGCGATCTTCTAGGGAAGGGACAGCAGGAATATTATACAGCCTCTGCCTTCATGGAGCTTAGAATCTAGACAAGCAGATAAAGCAACCCTCTATCCGAAGTTAACTAACAGCCCCGGGATGTTTGCAAAATGAGATGAAGGCAATTAAGCACCAAAATAGAAGTGCCGAGGAGGCTATGAGAGAAGAGGTCAATGCTCAGGAAAAGGCTTCACAGACAGAGTAAGAACTGAATTTGATCTTGAAGGCAGGTCCAATTTGGATGGCTAGATTAACCTATAATGACCTGAGTGAGAGTCAGTCTCTCAAAGATGAAGTCCCACAGTTTGGGTAGAACAAGAATATTTGTTCCCGTGAAAGAGGAGGTAAGGACCTGAAGCTGAGGATATGAACAAACCTTGAGGATATTCAAAACATTGGCATCTATATGGTTCATCCACGTAGACCTTAACCTACAACCGTTTCTCCTTCAACCCACCCTAGTCTTCCTGTCTGAGGCTGCACCCCATTCAGCAGTTTTCAATAAGGGACAGATTTCCATCAGATGCCACGGGGCAAATGGTAAGTAAGCCATGTCTTTGATTAGAGGGAAAAAAGAAGATACCTTTTCTCAACACCCTGACTTGACTTGCTTCCACTTCCACCCCAAAATGCAATGGCCCCGATCCCTTACTAGTATCTTTTGTATATAACAGATATGAGATCCTGATTTGAGCTTTAGAATAGGAATCACCAAGTGATATGCAGAAAGCATATCACTATTGAGCTAGATCCCAATGACTGGAGCCTGTGACCCTTGGACATGGTATGAGGATGCCCTCCAGAGTCACCTGCCTAGAGGGAACAGGGTGTCAATGAAACACACATGGGCAGAGCCAAGAAAACAGAGAAGAGAGGCTAATGTGAGACTTTCGAGTGTCCTATTTCCCACTGCATATGGGGGAAAACTAAGACAATTTCATGGTCACCCTTATCCTTGTCCTTTCAATTCAAGCCAGCCCTGCCTCCTCAAGCCAGCTGAGTGAAGAATGGAGGTGTTAGAAGATCACTATTCCTCTGCCTGAACTCCAAGTAAATATTAGGAATAAAATTTTAAGAACTCATGATGATGAAGGTCTGAGCTTTGTGCCATCTCTGTACAGCTAATTAACCACTTTTTAGACAGGCCTCATGTGTTAGAGATTCTTACTGTAAATAATTTTTTAATAGGTAAGAATTTTCAAGTTGCCTATAGCAGATCTAAGGTCTGAGGAGGCTCCAAGGCCAAAAGGACAAAAGAAGAGACTACTAAAGAGAGAATAGAGAGGCAAGAGGCTGGCATTGCCAAGAGTTTGGAGAAATAGGTCTGTCCTACATTCTGGGAGTGGAGGGCTCTGCCAGCCAGGCCCAGACAAATCCGGAGTTTCTTCACGCCAGTCATGGAGGTAGTGATGAGGGTTTGCAGAGAGCTGAAAAATACACTCACCGATATATAATCTGGGAAGGATCACTTTTCTTCTTTAGGACTGAATTTCCACATCTGTAAAATAGAGACAAGTTATGCTAGATCAATGTCCTCAAACCTGAGATTTCATAAGGACAGTCAAGAATTTGTCCCCAGTCCCTTAGTTTCCGAAATAACGCATTTGATGTTAAATATCATCACTTTTAGAAGATTACTAGATGCCAGCACAATCATAATCTTGGTTATAAATGGCCATTCACACAATATGCTTATATTAATTATTTAAAAACCCCATCAAAATGAAAACCAAAATTTTTTAAATTATACTGGAATCCCTGTGAATACCTCTGTGGAGCACAGTTTTTAAAACACTCTATCGTTTTAAAGGTCCATTGCACTGATTCATTCAGCAGTGTGTCGGAGTATGTACAGTGCACTAGCCCTGTGATTCCTGGAACTAAGGCGAGAGTAGGGAGCATTCTTGGTTGCTGACACTAACATATAGACAAAGGAATTTACTGGAAGGATACCAAGTAGCTCAGACTCAATGAGAAGGCTGGAGAATAACTTCAGACGATGCTATTCATGCCTAAGGAAGAATCAGGTTGGAAGACCTGGGACACTGGACACTGCCTGCCATCGCTGCTAGACAAATTCTGAAGTCTCCCTACTTCACCATCTCCAGTTCAAGGTCTTAGGTGCAAATCTCTAATGGGCTGGGCTTGGTTTATGTGCCAGAGCTCTAGATGACTGGTGGGGATGTGCGGAGAAGGAATATATGGCTTTTATGGCTTTCAGTAATGGGAGCTAAGGGGTCCTGCTCTGCTACTTGAGATTGACACTTTCCATTGTCCGATTCTTCAAACATGGAAAGAAGTTCAGATGTTGAACACACACACATCCCCACCAAATACCAGAAACGTCCACATACTCTCAGGGTCTACTCATCCTAAACCTATTTTTTCCCAACTTCTTTCCTGTTTTACAAATGAGGCTCAAAGACATTTAATTAACTTGCCCAAGGATACATCTAAATAAGTAGGAAAGCTGAGGTGAAAATCCTGGGTTTTCTTTCTCTTCCTTTCTTTCTTTTTTTCTTTCTTTCTTTCTTTCTCTCTACTTTTTATTATGGAAATTTTCAAAAATAAAAAAGTAGAAAGACAATTAACCCATGGCCAATTAACTCATGCAATTAACTCATGGCCAATCTTACTTCATTTCATCTGCACTCCCCGCCTACACTCACCCATGCCCATCGGATTCTTATGAAGCAAAGCCCAAACATCATAACATTTCAGCAAAAATATTTCTGTAAGACTCTCTAAGGAAGATTCTTTATAAAATGTATAACTGCAATACATCACCCTAAGCAAATAAATAACTCCCTAATATCATTAAATATCCAATCAGTGTTCACATTATCCCAATTGTCTTGTAAGTTTTTCATAGTTGGTTTATTTGAATCAAAATTCAAATAAGACCCATACTTTGCAACTGGTAAATGGGATTGTTGTTGTGATTTATTTGTTGAAAAAACCTGAGTCATTTGTCTTACAGAGTTTCCCACATTCCAGATTTTGTGATTTACATCTTAGTAGCGTCGTTTCACATGTTCCTCTGTATATCCAGCTCATTCTAACTCAAAAAGGCCAGGCTATAGTCCTATACAACCCTCCTCAAGGGACTACTGTGATTCTCAAATGTTCTATATCTGGTAGGTGTTTTTTAGTTGTGAATTCAGAAGCAGATTTCGTGTACCTTAACTTTTCACGATCCCACTACTCTCAGATGTGCCCTCAGTAGGTTTCACAAAATGATGATTTCCTCTAACTTCTTTGCATGCTCTTTCCTTTTCAGGAACATTCAGAAGATAAACAGTATCCCCAGGAATGTCAGGACCCTCTCTTGTCCCACCTGCAGCCACTATCCCCTAGCCAGGCACACATGGAGCTGAAGCGCTACTACAGCATCTGCCAAGATACTGCCTTGGGGCGATCAGGCTTCCAAGAAGCCGGAGGAGAGTTGAAAAGGGAGGGGAGGACTCGGAACTCCCTCAGCCCCACCATGGCACCCAAGCTCAGCTTGGAGGTTCGAAAACTCAGTAATGGCAGGTTGTCGACATCTCTAAAGCTGGGGCCCTTGCAGCCTCGTGGAGTGCCACTTCGGGAGAAGAAGGCAACCCAGATGCTGGCCATTGTGCTTGGTGAGTTTGGGTCATGTTGAGTTGGGTTGAGTTGGGTTGAATTTGGTTGGGTTAGGTTGAGTCTGGTGGGGCTGGCAGAGGGTACTAAGGAACCACATTTGTCAGAAATGGAAATCCAATAACGGTAATATTTATAAATGTTTGTGATACAATTGAGAAGAGTTTGCATATCAATGTTAACTCTGGGGAAAATTCAACAGATCTGGGCTGAAAATATGAAATACAAAATTGAGCAAGTGATCTAATTGAACTGTGTTCATCCATTGTGTTTGTTGTCTATCACGTGAGATTATAATGGATAAATCAAATAATAAATAAGATAATAATTCAACAAAAGTGTCTGGCACATATTGGATATTTAATAAAGGCTTATTTATTCTAAAATATTAAGTGAAAAAATAGGGATGCAAAAAACTGCTGTCATATGGTGCGATAACATCTAGATTATTTCAAATACAGAGAAAGAAAAACATGAAAATTAATTCACCAAGATGTCAAAAGTGATTGTCTTTGAGTGGTGGGTGGTTATTTTTCTTCTTTCTACTTCTCTATATTTACCAAGTTTTCCATGATGTACAAAATCAGGGTTAATTTTTATAGTAGAAAAAATAAAAAGTTTATTTGAATAAAGAAAAAAATTGATGTCACACATAGCATATAGAGTTACTGAAGGCAATTCATCCTGTTCACTGCCACTGACAAACCTCACTTTCTCATATCTCAGGGACTTTATGAGAACATCTGGATGTAATCTCAACAGCAGGAACTGCCAGGTCTTTAAGGTCTTCTTCCCTATCGGTGCCTAGGATCATGTCTCACATGGCTAGACATTAAATAAATATTTGAACTGAACTGAGAAGTAGAAAAGACTAGTAAAGAGCTACCTAAATATCAAACTAGAAAATTGATTTAGGAACAAAGGCCTGAGATGAATCAAAGATGTAAGCATGTAACTTTCTCATCCAAAAAAAAAAAAAGAAAAAGAAAAAAGAAGTGGCTCATCACATCTACTTCATAGCGTTGGTGTAAAAATTAAATGGGTCTGTAAAATTCCAGCATGGTGGCTGGCACAAAGCAAACAAACATGAGTCATTTTCATGTTATAACAAAAGGAGTAAGCATACCCCTGACCCAGTTTCTCTCTTCCTTTGCAACCCAGGGGCCTTCATTGTCTGCTGGCTGCCCTTCTTTTTGACCCACGTTCTCAATACCCACTGCCGAGCCTGCCACGTGTCTCCAGAGCTTTACAGCGCCACCACGTGGCTGGGCTACGTGAACAGTGCCCTCAACCCTGTGATCTATACCACCTTCAATGTCGAGTTCCGTAAAGCGTTCCTCAAGATCCTGTCTTGCTGAAGGAGAGGAGAGCGTGCTCCCTGTGCCCACCCTTAGCCGCCAGGCCATTGGGCCACTGGCCAGGGTCTGCTCAGAAAGACTGTGCTGTGTTCTCTGGCGTGGGGTAGGAAGAAGACTCGCGGAGCCAGGACCTCCCTGAGTAGCAGGTATAACCAACTGCTTCCTCCTAAACAGAATGTTCTACCTCCCCAGCTAAAATCTGACTTCATCCTGGCAATCTCCAAGTGGTTGGGAGGTCCCCGAGTGACAAGCAATAATTCAGAAAGAAGCTGATAAAACATGACTCTACACACACACAAAATTGTCATCAGAGGCATGATTCATCACAGTGAAGAAAAAATGAACAGATCTCATAATTGTGAACTCACCAGGGGTCCTTGAAATCTCAGCCAGTAAACCATCTTGCAGAATAACCGCACTCTCTTCTGTCAACCTCTAATTAAACTGTCAGGCTGACCTTGTACTGTTGTGGGCCCATGCCCTTTTGGTCATTCCTTTTGTTCACTGTATGCTGAATTATAAGGGACAGCCAGTGCTTCTACCTCTCTGTAGAATCTGGCTGCCATTGGTGACGGAAATTCCTCACCCTGAGCGAAACATTGTCCCACATTGGGACCCAGGCTTTCTTTCAAATCTTGCTACCCCTGCACTGTAGTTCTCACTAAGAAGGCCCTCTGACTCCATTCCCATATTCTGGGAGACTCAACTCCAGAGTAATTCAGGATGAGGATGTTAAGGGGAAAAGGAATGGTGGCTCCCACTTGTAGGATCAGTTTAAACCATATGGTTCATAACATGCCTTCAATATGCTTTTCATAACGCCATAGGGTTTTCCTACCAAGGCATCTTCATCTCCTGCTTAACAGAGACCCAATACTCTCAGACCCTAAACCCCATTAAGTTTTTAATGTCTACAAAGTGCCACTCACCTCCCAGGCTCTGGATCGATGACAATGAAGAAGACAGCTCCTGTGTTTGTTCATTTACATGTAAGTGTGGTAGGGACTCCCCTAGACTGTCAGAGGACCTCAGAACTGGGGGCACCAGGCAGAGTAGCTGTCCAAAGACATCACGTGGACAGTCTTCGTAAAGGCCTAGTGCAGAGCCTGAACAGGACCACTCCAACAACTGAAATGAAAGACATAATAGGATAATGTGTCGATGTCATTCAAATTGCATTTAGAAGGAACTTGAGTAGTCTCACTACTTCCCTTTTTACATACAGAAGCTATTTCTCATTGACTAGAGAATCCAGATACAATTTATGGATAATTTATGAAGTGTTATCATCCTGAACTTCAGTAAATTTACTGTGAAGGGCTGTTAGTGCATAGATGTGACAGATGCCCACTGTAATGCTGGTAAAATTTTTAAGTGCACAAGAATTTAACGAAGAATCCAAGGCTTCTTTGCCCCATCTTTATTCCTCTAACCCTTAAGTGTAAAAGAAGCAAATATATACCCCCAGCAACTTAGTCACCTGTTACTCCTGAATGCTTTTAATGCCAGCATTTTAAAAATGTTATTGCCTAAAACAGTATTCATATTGTAAGTCTAGTGGGAAAATTCTGTGTGCCCACTAGTTCTTGTACCTCATGCCATCTAGCTCAAGTGGTTTATGTGGCAAGCAGAACTGGGGACTCAGACTGTTACATATCTGAAGAAGTAAGAGGACATGATCCCTAGGTTTTTCCATGCAAAATAAACAGAAAACAAATAGGACAGTGGGTTAAAATTAACAAAATTCCATGTCAAAATGAGAGTTCTAAAAATAAAAACAGGGCGCCTGGGTGGCTCAGTCGTTAAGCGTCTGCCTTCGGCTCAGGTCATTGTCCCAGGGTCCTGGGATTGAGCCCCGCATCGGGCTCCCTGCTCCACAGGAAGCCTGCTTCTCCCTCTCCCACTCCCCCTGCTTGTGTTCCCTCTCTCGCTGTGTCTCTGTCAAATAAATAAAATCTTAAAAAAAATTAAAAATAAAAACATAGCGTCAGTATTAATATATTTATGAGGAAGAAGGATGGCAAATATGGTGTATCCTTCCTTTCCACCAAGCCATTAAAACCTTAGGATGACCTTAAAAAGATAAACTCAGTTTTTGGAGGTGAGGAGACAGGCTAAGGGAGGTCAAGAAATTTGGCCCAGGTCATACACACTAAGTGACAGAGCTGGGACTCGAGTGTACGTCTACCTGATTGGCAAGCCCGTCCAACCAAGCACCATGACACACTGCCTTCCACCAGAGAGGGAAAGGGGTGGGAGAAAAAGATGGAGAGAAAAAAAATGGACCCAGGGTCCCTGGAAGAGCCTCAGCCTACCTGAGCCACCTCTGCCCCTAAACTGGCCCCTGAAGCAGCCAGCCCAACACACTGCTCTCACTCTCCTGCCAAGTTCAACTTCTAAAACAGTCACACAGCAAATTCGTAATCTGTTTGTATAAAATCAGGCAACAGACCTTAGAGAGCATTTGGTTCTACTCTCTCCTTTATCTATATAAAAGGAAACCGAAGTCCAGAACTATTGTCCCCATTCGCTCCCGACAGACAAGCATGCCAATATACTGAACTCTTCTATAAAAACTATAAACTCCAGATAGATACAAGGAGAAAGTCATCCTGTCACCTTCATCTTTAAACTGAGAGGCATCTTTTCCCCTAGCCCAGTGGCCTCTTATTCTTAATCTGAGACAACATCCCCTTCCCAGAATTTTCTTCTGATCCAGGAAGAGCCTTCTAGAGGAATTCCAAACACTCTCTTCAGCCTCTTCAGCCTGGGATTCTTCATTCTACCCCTTCTACCTCTGTAGTTCCCACCATGAACCAGCACTTAACCTCAGAGTTTGCTGCTTTCAGAGCCAGCATGGCCAAAACTTCCAGGAGAGACATTGGCCTGAATGAAGCAGGGCAGAGTTCTTGGGGCAAACCTGTTCTGGGGTCTAAAGAAGCCTCAGAGCTGGCCATAATATTTGGGTGAAATGCAAATAGCATGGAAATCCAGAGAGATTACAACCAACATTCAACTCTAGATCATAAGTAAATATTTCCTTCTTCCAGAACACCATCCTCTAAAATTCCTTTCATGGCCCATTTATTAAATCAACCATTTATTCAATAAATACTGATTTACTATCTCCTAGGTGCCAGGCATTGTACTTAGTGCTGGGAAACATCATCGAGGGAGACAGGGTCCCTGCCCCCAAAGCTTGTAGTACAGTGGGGAGGCCGCATTTGTGTGTACACTGATGACCTGCTTTTTGTCTATAGTAGAGGGAATTCATAGTTTTTGGAAGTCCTATATTCAGCCCTAAGAAGGCTTCCCAGAAAAGTATTGTCAGGGTTAAGACATAATTAAAAAGTAGGAAGGGTGTTCCAGGCAGAGAAAAACTTTGAAGAGCTGAAGATGTGAACAAGCAAGGAGCATGCAAAGAATCTCAAATAATTCCATCTGGCTGTATAGAAGAGCCCATAGGACAGGAAAGGAAAGGGCCTCATCTTTGGAGACCTCCTCCAGCTCTGTTCAGGTGACAACTGAGCTAGTGGTGATACCACTTTCAGAAAACCTCTAGATCTTTCCTCCATTTCCCTCCATGTGGGCAACACACATCACAGATGACTTACTTAACTGACTTATTTACTTCCCTCTGAGCTACAGTGAAGTTCAATAAATGCAGAATTCAATTTGAATTCTTTGCTCTTTTCTCTGCAAGAGGAGGAATGGCTGGCTGAATGGATGTAGAGTCAGAGATGGTTAAAATGAAGGCAGTTCAGAGAGTTTGGGTCAGAAATCAAGGGGTGGGGTGGGGGGGTGGCGGGGTCAGGCAAAGAGATTTGTTTTCCTGAATGCTTGGGTCAGAACTAAACAGAGAAGCAGAAAGGCTCAGGGATTTGCTCACAATTGGCTGTTTCCTGCAGGTCCTGACTCCCAGGCCTGTGCTCTCATCCTTTGGTATCTGCTGACATCAGAAAACTGAAAAAGCTTAATTTAAATCAACACACAAAGAGCAGAGAGGGGATGACAGGCAATTAACTTGATTCCTCCTTTCTACCTAATTCTCTCCTCATCAGCTTAGGAAGAGAGTGAGTTTCCATGACTACCTCCTGACACGGAGACTCAGTGGAGGGTGATGCCAACGTCAGCTCGGCTCTGTTGCACACACTGACAGAGGCAGAACCTGGGAGTCGGTGCCAAGCACAAGTCCCAGGACCTGTTGCCCCACCCACCCCAGTAGCCTTCCTCATTAGCCAAAAATTAGACAACATCATGAATTAGAAGTGCTTTGCCAAATATAAAGTTCTAACAAATGTGAGAGATTGTTATCATTGATAGTCTGTCTCATCATCATCATCATCATCATCATCATCATCATCCTCACCAACATCATCCCCCCTAAGCAGCTATTTTTATTCCTATCTGGTTTCCACAGCCCATCTTTCTTTCTCTTTGCTGATTCTCTAATTGTCTTATGTTATCAGGCACAATCTGTTCAGCCTCCCACATGAAATCTGATTTTTCTCTTGTCTTTTATTCCCTACATGTGCCCAGGATACTTGGCTGAATTTGTAGTGAAGTTGTTAGGCAAATGGCTAGTCCCTAACAGCACACCCTTTCCCTGCTCCCCCAACCACGTGCCCAAGTATAGCAAGATCTGATGCCAGGCTGATGGCAGACTCGTGCTTGCTAAGGGTGACATGGGGGTCTCTGTTCCTCTCCTGGCCAGGGAATGAGGAGCAGAATGCACATACTCCTCAAGACTTTCCGTCTTTGTTCCTCATGATGTCTGAGCCTAACACCTTTCCTCTTGCTCCATCTCTTCCTTCCTGGGAGAAGTGCACTGGATATACTGCATTCATTTCCTAGGGCTGCCATATCAAATGGCCACAAACTGTGTGGCTTAACAAACAGAGACTTCTCTCATAGTTCTGGAAGCTCCAGTTCCAAAATCAAGGTGTTGGCAAGGCCATGCTCCCTCTGAAAGCTGTAGGGGAAGATCTTTCTTTGCTTCTCTCTAGCTTCTGGTGGTTGCCAGCAATCTTTGGTGTCCCTTAAGTGGGGCGGAATAA